AAAGTGTATGATAGCTGTCTTTTCCGCTTCAAAAGTTGCTCCACTTCTCCTTTCCCAATCGAGCGCCTCATTGATAATTGCCTCGATTCCTTGCCGGTTACTCTGCGCGGTTGGCCCGGTCACCCATGCGGTAAAATCATCCACAAAAGCGACCGCTCCTCCTTGGCTGTCGATCTGTCTTTGCACGAGGTCTGCGTTGAAGAAAAGGAATAGGATCGGAGATAGGGGTGAGCCCTGAGGCAGGCCAGCTTGGGGCAATCTTCGGGCCTCAGAAAGCTGCCCGTTGATCTGGATGGTGGCCGTTCGCTCTGAGCAGAATGCCTCGACCCACCGGAGCAAGTCATCTGGTATGCCTCGCGCTTTCATCCTCTGGAGCAGTCGTTCTTTGCACACTCCGTTGTAGGCACCTTTCACATCGAAACTGATCAGGCTCAATACTCGACGGCCGCGCCAGGCTGCGTAGATCTGCTCCTGCAGGAGCACCAGTGCTTGCTCTGCGGATCGCTGCTTTCGGGCGCCGAAGTGGCTGGTCGGGAGCAATCCGTGCGTTTCCACTGCGTGTGAGATTCTTTCAGCAACCACTGATTCGAGTATCTTTCCTAGTGTCGCTAGGAGTGAGATCGGCCTCCACGCCTTTGCAATGGTGTAATTTTCTTTATTCGGCTTCTTGAGCGGTATGATCTTCGCGTGTCTCCATTGTGTCGGTAACGCGCCTTCTCTCAGTGACGCCTGGAATAAATCGAGAACCCTGTGCTTGACAGTCGGCCATGTCATCTTCCAGACTATCGCCGGTAGACCGTCTTCACCCGGTGCCTTCCATGAATTAGCAGCAAAAAGCTGTCTTTCGATCTCTTCTGTGCCAACCGTAGGCATCCTCACCGGTTCTCTCTGTGGTCTCGTCCCCTCGTCTTCAATCACCTCTGGCAGAGGGGGGAAGAACTTGGACAATAGCTCTTCTGCTTGCTCCTTATGGTCAGCAGTAGTAGTGTTATCTGCTCTGACGAGCTGCGGTAGTTTCCCAAACGCCGCATCGTCCCCCGACTTCAGGTACTTGGCGGCTTTCCAGATATTGTCGTTGTCTGCGAGAAACTCATTCCAGTGCTTCTTCTTTTGCTTGCGGATGGCGTCATGGTATTTTTTTGCCGCATCCTGGGCCATCTTTTCGAGCTGAGGTATTTTTCGCCCCGCCCGTCGCTCCGAGCGAGCGCGATTGCGCCAGTGTGTGTATATGTAGCGGAGTTGTGTCAGGTCGGTTGTCCACCACCGCTTCGCGTGTGGCGATGGTTTCGCTCTTGGAGTTAAAGTATGCACTGCATCCGAGACTGCGGACATCAGTCGGTCGGTTTTCTGCTGCACTCTGCCTTCCGACGGAGTGGTGGCCAGGGTGCTCGCGATTCTAGCATTAATCTCTTTCCATGGCGCGTTCTTCAGAAGAAGTCGTTCCTGATGTTTCGGGGCTGGCCACGGTGCATCGAACACCGTCTCAATCGTCCGGTGATCCGAGCCGTGCTCAGTCCCGTGTATTACGCATTTGGTCATCAGGTCTGCCAAATTGTCGGAGGCCAGGACGAGGTCAATTGTGGACTCGCAGTCCCCGTACTGTCCTTCGCCATGCCATGTTTTCGTGCCTCGTTTGAGCAAGCTACTTAGAGCAAATTCACTCATGAGGTCAATGATTGGATCCGCTTCGCCTTGTCTTCCCAAGGACACCTCGTCTCCGCCCCAGAGTTGATCATGGCGGTTGAAATCTCCCATAATCATGATGTTCACCACCGCGCCCGTGTCTCGCCGCACCATCGCAATTGCCCTTCTCAGGTGACCACACGCGTCATCCAGAGCCGAGGAATCTCCCCCTTCGACGTAGACCGATGCTATAAAGATCAGCCGTTCGGGTAGTCGGATGACCGCTGCCGTCAGATCCGGGGACTCAATGGCCACTTGCTCCGCTTCTACATCTCTGTTGACCCAAAGCATGCTCCGGATCGCCCATCTGCCTTCCCTCCAGGTGGAGGGTACCATCTTCGTCCATTTGTGGTGTACCATTGGGGTGGTCAAGAGTCGTCCCTGAATCCTCCTCGCCTGGGGTTCCTGAATCGCTAACGCCACTGCGTCCTTGGTTTGTTCGTCGTTCATTAAGCTTTCATGCACGGCACCCTGCTTCCTCACATTCAATTGGATTATTCGAAGTGTCTTATTCATGACGTGGTGGGTAGAGCTTCCGGCAATTCTTGCTAAACGACTCATGTGGCCCACCGCATGGAACACACTTTGGAACCTCTTGATCGCAGCGACTGTGGTGATGACCCTCCGAGGCGCACTTTGCGCACTTCTGGGTCTTCCGGCATTGGAATGCCTTGTGACCAATCTCCTGGGAGTTATAACATTGCATCGGTCGTGGCCGATATTCAAAGACGCTGGTTGTCCCGGATTCCCCTCCAACGTGGAAGTATCCGTCGGCCAGGAGCCTCCGCGCGTCGGAGCCTTTAGTGAGGTACACGACCATCGAGCCATATGGCTTCGCGGCTTCCTTGCTGCTAAGCCACGTCATCTAGGCGACTGTACTTTCGTTTTCTTCACTCAGTGCTACGGCTGCTCCAGCCAGAATGGCATGGTTGTCATCTAGCACCGCAGCCCTCTTGACGCCGTCGACCTTGATCGGGTAGAGCTCGTCCCGGAGCACCCGGGATCCTGTTCCGATCTTTTCTTCCGCCACTTTCTTGACCAGCTGGTGCTCGGCTTCATCACGACACGCAATCCTGATCCGATTGGGGTCTCTTGGACTCACGGTGACCGCGCGGCAGCGCCAGTGGGTGTGATCATCCATCGTTCGGATCTCTTTCTCGATTGCGGCCCTGATTGAGCCCGCGGATATCTTTTCATTTTCGTTTTCGGTCATCTTCGAGGTGTCTATCGTACAGTACAAAGTTTCGGTAAAGGTGGTCGGTGTCGTGCCCAGCGTTGACAGTGTCCGTATGTTGCTTGGGTAGCTGGTTGGAGGAGTGCGCGCGACATCTGCATAGGATGGGGAATTCGTGGGAGCGGGGACGCTGATTTCTTCGCGCAAGGATTGAATCTCGCGGAGAATCGCATCATGGTTGTTCTGAGAGCATGCCTCGGAGTGGCATTGCGGTGTCAAGGGTCTATCAGTCAGGTTCTGTAGCTCGTGTCGGACCTCGGCGAGAGCGGCACCAAACTCTGCTTGGGCTTTTAGTAGTTCTTCCTTATGTATCTCATCGCGGAGTCTGATCTCCCTCCTGAGTTTGGCGATCTCTTGCACCAGATTGCTGACATCGAGGTCGTCGCTCTCGGTCGCGGAGTCGTCCGAGGTTGCCACGTCAGGCTGGTCTTCGGGTTCGATTCTCTTCTTTGGTAGCGGTCGCGTCTTCCTCTGCTCGTTGTCGATCTCTTGCTCTCGAGCATAGTTTTTCGGTGGTTTGGTGGTGCGCTTCGGTCTCGACAGTCGCGGTGGCGAATCCTCGCGTTCATCGCGGTCGGGCGGATCAGGGGTTCGCATCGCGGCCCGTCCCGTCATTACTCACTCGATACGGGAGGTCGGTATTTTCGCCACGTGGCACAAAAAGGCTATCAAGTCCCAGTCGAGATACTTCAGGGAGTACAGTCCCCCAAAGGTATACCCTCAGCTGGTACAGTCCGTCAAGTAATACAGTCGATCCCAAGCAGTACAGCCTTCAATGGGTCGAGAGAGATACAGTCGCTCTTGAAATCGGCTTGACCGATACATACTGAGCAATAGACCTCGCCAAATGGGCGGGTTGGGTTTCGACCCTTGACCCAAAACCCGCCAAGAGATTAAAATACACGTAACATATACCTGATTACATCACTCTATATCTGGTATTGGTTGTATTTCAACAGTAATACTGTAATATACAGGTAAATGGGTTCTTGGCGGGTTCGCGGGTATTCCTTCGGGTACCCAAAAAAGCAATATGGCGAGGTCTACTGAGCAACTCTTTGCATGACCCACCGCCAAGGCCTTAGCGCTGATTATTTATTGACCGGCCGCCGCTAAATTGAGGTGCGTCGGAAAAATGCTGGTTTTATGGTACATGGTCATTTTACAGAACTTATATATTCAGGCTCTGTCTTTTAAACACATGGATATTGATAGGAAACCTCTAGTTTAAGTGAAACGCTAGGCTTTGATCAAAGGCCAACGTTTGACGTTCACTGTGCTCTATAGATAAACATAAGACCTTAGCAGTGGGGCTCGCAAAGAATTGCTGAATGTGTGTTGGTCAAGCCGATTTCGAGAATGGCTGTATGCTGGCAAAACTAGATCCATTCTTTACCACTACTGTAGAGATCACCTTGGGAAAAATCATATAACCTTGGGTGAAACTTCGAAACGATCTTTGATTGAGTGATGCTAGGACTATTAGCAAGACTTGCCCACAACACTCCCTCCGCAAGGGGAAGAAAAGAAAATTACAGTACTGCAAATTAAGAACCAACGCAACTGCCAGTCTCGTTGATCAAAGCTCAAAGAAAAGCACCTTGATCTAATGCTCTGCAGAGGGACCACCGAAATCACGTGCATCGTGGCTGGACGCGTAGCTGAAGCGGCACGAACATTCGTTACCGACGTGGAGAACTCCCATGTAAGCTAACACAGATCTCAAGGACTTTGACAGTGTGTAAATATAAGCGACAGCCCATATTACGCTGACTATTTATGTCTCGGCCCTAAACCGAACTATATGAACAAGAATTTTAATATTCTCCTCCTACCCCGGGACACTCATTGAACGTCTGGAAATCCTCAAGCCACGTACGACCCGAAAAACGTGTTCGATAAGATTCACCCCATTCCTAAGCGCTCAAATTAAAAGGGAAAGCTTTCTGATTGGGCAACTGCGGATAGAGTTTGGCTTTTCAGGTGAGGGAGGGTAGGATATATCTCGGTTATCGATGTTTGAACCCGAAAAGGTTCACCAGAATGTGTAAAATGTCGAAACTCCACGTACATGTCACGCAATCTATGATTTACTCTTCCAAAAGCCCCAGGACAATACCACTGAGAACTTAATCCCTGCTGCCAACCAAAGCACGGGCGAAATTTGCTGCGTCGCTTTAGTAACCCAACCTCCCACGATGGCTCCAATTAAAGTAAAGATGAAAGCCGCGAGGCGCCGATCCCGCTTTTCATTCCGCAGTATGAACAACTTCGGGTCCGACATCAGGTCACACAAAAGGCTAGTGATCACTACCGTGGGAATTTCATTGTATCCCAGAGCTCGACTCGCGACGATTTGGCCCGCAGACTGAAAGCTAAGGAGAACAATCGGCACCTCTGAGTCCCATTGTGTTGCAGTTTGCACCAGACCTGATTCCATGGCGCTAGAAACCACGCCAGCTTGTACCAGGGCAGCAGTTATCAGAATTAGGCTGGCCTGTATGAAGAAGGATAGCATCAAGCATCCTCGTCTGTGTGCTCCGATCCACTGGTTGAGCCGAGCAAAGAAAAATGCACCCAGTACAAAGCATCCGATGGATGTCAGTGAACGAGCCCAACCGTATGGGCGTGTATTCTGGTTGGATGTACCTAGTGCGAGGAAGATGGTGTTTCCTATGTCATAGCAGCTTATTAGAGTCCTTTTTCTACCATGGACGTGAAAAGAGGGAAACGGCTTCTCACCGGTTTGCATCGAGACGAAGGTAGCGTAGGCTGCTTGAATTAGATCTTTCATACTGGTAATGTAGATGAAGGATTGAAACCATTGTAAATTGTACTGTCCACCAGACCAGAGGTCAAGCAGCAGGTGAACAACAGCAAGTCAGCATTTCGTGAGACGACTTCTTCCTTCAAGAAGCGTGAAACTCCCGCCGTGCGACCTTTTTCTTGATCCATTGAAGTCATAGAAGTGAAGAATATTGTAGGACCTCCGTAGATTGGGGATAAACTGCTATTTCTTTCAACTTTCCAGGGCGAAAAGACTGAGGGAATGATGGACCTCAAAAATTGGAACTTATTCCTCTTCCCCTTTCACCTCGCCAAAGCAACAAGATGCAGGCCAAGAAGCCAAAAAGTCCAACCTGGCAAATCGATACGACAATCTACAGCTGAGTACTAGACATTCCCCACCTCCCAAAGGCTTTCCATCCTTGGGTGTAACCTAACAATCAACCTTGATACTTGTGGCTTACAGCGAGGGTTTTCCTCACCTCGATCCGGTGCCCAGAATTGCCAAGGATGATTCGAGATGAATTTTCACCATGCCGAGAATCTTGGCACCACTATATTCAGTTTCTTGATCCGTCAATCAGAGGAGATTGTGGCGCTGAAGCCCTAGATGATTCCGGGAACTCTCATTGTTGGATTTATTGTTCTGCGGTCTCGGAATGCATTGAAAAGTTGAAAAATCTGGAAGGAGGCGTGATAAGATAACAGGTATCGCGTATTCCGTGTGAATGGACTAAGATAAGGCGTAATCACGAGCAAGGGTGGCTTAAATGAGGGATATCTGTAGGCCACATAGCCTTTTCCTTTGGGGCGGGGGTTGCTGATCTCCCGAATGATGGTCCCGAGAAAGAAACTTCGCGACCAGGGGTGTTCTTGGCCGAGTAAGACGGATGCAATCAATTTTTAGCGTCCCGGAAGGCCGATTCTCTCCACTGGCTCTGTTTCCTGCACGGCCGGGGGCCGTAAGGTCTTGGCCAATCCCTCCCGATGCCGCTTTAATAAAGTGGCGTAGATTTGGTTTGATTACTGAGTATTGAGTATTAACCAGCTGAAGATGATTATTTCATTTAGTGTTCTGCTTTTGTTTTCCACACGAATGAGGTAAATGCGGTTATCGCATATGTTGGTCAGCCTTACTATATTGCAGCCACTGCAATAATTCATGCATGAAATTCTCCGTTGAGAAATCTCGCCTCGTCTCGTCTGGTAGATATAGTCTGCATGTTTTGTGGGTCTAGACCTCTCTTGGCCGTATCTTCACCAACCTCATATCAGTCCAATTAATTAATTCTGAATTCTGAAGTGCAGGACGATATGGATTTTTAATTCCGAGAAGGCTTCTGTACTTTGGTTTCGTGATCTTCACTCTCGGCTGAATTTCCTTCTGATGTCGAGATCTACCGAGTCCGGGTCTACGTGGGTGCCCACCGAAATTCGGCTAAATAATGGGCGGAGAAGATCAGGGGTACCTTACTTAAATCTTCGCTGTTTCACTGGGGTTTGCTGACGATCTGGTGAATAATACATGGTAGCCTGAAGATCGCAATGATTCATGGCCTATGAATCCTCTGTCTCCAGATTTCTTACTTGAGGGCTCATGATCTTCATATCCGTAAAGCTGAAGTATGCCAAGGACCTACCACAGGGCATGTGAAAACAAACGGGAAAGAAAATTGGCCCCGATAAGATGCATCTCGGCGCCCGTGGTTGAGGGGTTCTAAGACCACGAATGCGATCTTTTCATCCTATGGCCAGTCACAGGAGCCCGAGACGCGCCCCTAAACGCTACCTCATAACCTCCATGTCGTCTTCTGTCCCTCTGTTTGCCTATCACCACGCATACACAATCTCATTCGGCTCGGGCTTTCCCCAGCCGGACATTAGTTCTCTATGGAGAACTTGGCGCATCTCGCCTCGACATTGAGCGATAATCTTTGCAATTCCATATCTCGGCGCATCAACTGCCTTCTGCGGCTCTGATCCTGTGACCTCTACTAGCGCTGCAGGCGTACAACTTCGGAAACGGGAAATTGATGATAAACCTGGCTCTAATGAGCTACACACTCCGGCAAGGCGTAAATACCAACTTCGCCCCTGATTTTTATGCGGTCTGTGGTTTTTGAATGTCAGTTTCTGAAACCTGAAAGAAAGAACGCTGAGAAATGCAAAGCATTGCTCAAAATATGGGGGCAGACAGCCAAAGTGAATTTACTATCGGCATGAAATTTATCGGTCAAAGCGGGGAAGAAGAAATGGACACTTACTAACTTTGAGTTTCGCCGATGCTGCAGCTAGTCCATTTTGAGGAGGCTAAAGCAGTCGTTATATTGACTAGAATACGTAATTAAGTGGCGTGGCGTAGTAAGATACATATTGGAAGTCCCTACGTCGTGTCCAGTTCTTCAGCTTGACATGAAAAGTCGATGACAATGAAAGGTCTATCTTCAATAATGACTAACCTCACATCTGAGTCACACATTATTGGACTTACTAACGTGGGTCTATCTTCTAAAAGACGGAGAGATCTAAAATCATCGACCATTGATTCCCATCTGTGGAGAGAAGTGATGGGCGTACTGGATGCTTGTCGACAACCTTGGAAGATAAACTATTCCTTGGCGACCTTGGTAGGTAGAATACTAGTTGTACTTCAATTCAAGCAATCGGGAAATTTCCCAGCTGTCAAAAGCGGCAACAACGACATACAGAAAAATCCAACGTAAATATTCCGTAGTGTGAGTAAGAACCCACTATGCAAGTCAGAAAAGATGGCACACATGCATATGCATCAGCGCATACGACACCAAGCGACAAGAAATCGATCCCGAAGGAGGTGGGCCTAAGTATATTGAATTTGGCTAAATTCTGAAGGGTGCAGCTATCTTGTCAACCGCGTCACCCGCATGCGTTATCAAGGTCCCTGGCCCCTGGCATTCTGAATTCTGCAAAACGTGGCGATCAATATGTCCAAATTCAGCAGTCCCTCCGACTATCCGTGGCAATTGGGAATACCGGGTTTTGAGGTGCTGTGGAAACCTGTGGCCATTAAGGTCATCCGGATCGTGATTTCGAGTTGGTACGACCCAAGAACGAGCGATAAAGCATGTCGCGTCTTGGCGTACGGTGAGATGTTGCATTCCCAAGTATCAAGGCTTGCTAGTAGCCCGTGTAGTGAAGTTGGCCCCATTGATCTAGACACTATCGGACCCACCCTTCCCTCGTGGGATGGTCTTGTCCGAGCAGGGTGAGAGGTATAAAGATGCGGGTTCGCCTCGACTGTCATTTAGTCTGTCATGAAACAGTATTGTTCGATTATATCATATATATCATTATGACTATCACAATTACCGTCGAAAAGGATGGCTATTATGAGGTGAACGGCATGAGACAGGAGCCATCTGTCTCTCTCTACGTTATCCCCGCGGCATCCAAGCTACGAAGAATGCTCAAGGACAACAAGGAAATGATTGTGTGTCCTGGTGTTTATGATGGCCTTTCTGCTCGTATTGCCATGGAGCTGGGCTTCAAGGGCATGTATATGGTAAGGCATCTCTGTTCATCCGAATCAATCCATAGGAACTAATGTTTTCACAGACTGGGGCCGGAACTACAGCATCCCGCCTTGGAATGGCCGACCTTGGACTTGCTCAACTTCATGACATGAAGACCAATGCCGAAATGATTGCTAACCTCGACCCATTCGGAGCTCCTCTCATTGCAGACATGGACACCGGCTATGGAGGTATGTAACACAAGAAATAAAATTCAGAAATTCGAGCATTCAGCTGATTGACACACACAGGCCCATTGATGGTAGCCAAATCGGTTCAGCAATACATCCAAGCAGGTGTTGCAGGCTTCCACATCGAGGACCAGATCTCAAACAAGCGATGTGGTCATCTTGCTGGCAAGCGAGTAGTTGGTCTGGAAGAATACTTGACAAGGATTCGGGCCGCGAAGTTGACCAAGGACCGTCTGCACTCAGACATTGTGCTCATCGCCCGAACCGACGCGCTGCAACAACACGGATATGATGAGTGTATTACCCGCCTGAAAGCAGCCCGCGAGATCGGCGCCGATGTCGGTCTACTTGAGGGTTTCACTACCAGGGAACAAATGGAACAAGCCGTCCAAGATCTCGCTCCTTGGCCACTTCTGCTTAACATGGTTGAGAACGGAGCATCTCCCGTTGTGACGACAAAAGAGGCCGAGGAAATGGGATTCCGCATCATGATCTTTTCTTTTGCCTCGATTGTGCCTGCATACGCTGGAATTAGAGCGGCATTTTTACGTCTCAAGACAGAAGGTGTTGTCGGAACGCCGGAAGGACTGGGACCGAAGAAATTGTTCGAAGTATGTGGACTGATGGACGCTGTGAAGCTGGATACTGAGGCGGGAGGCGATGGTTTCGAAGACGGAGTCTAAGCGGGGATTTGTCGAATTCCCTGAGAGCTTGTAAGGCATAAGCGAACTAGACTTGATATCTCCACACGTCAACCATACTTTGTCGGTAAAAGTGGAGAGGAATCTTACTAGCGTAATTCGTTTCAATCAACGCCCAATGCTTCCTGATTTCCAAGGTATCAACGGCTGAATCAGCTCGAAAGAGCTCCTTTAACTATTTGGTTACCGGAAGGATATAGAAAAGACACATCTAACTTAATATACTGTGCAATGGCCTAGTGGGTTCATTCTACTACTAGTGAATACTGCCACTATCGGAACCGATATATTTCATCATATTTCTTTACCACCACTACAAACCACATTCACAGAGTAGCTTCGGTATTAACCAAGTAGATGAGCATACATCAGAGAAATCAAATCATGAGGTTAGCGCTCATCAGCAAACAATCCACGTCATTGGATTTTTTTGAGTTCATTAAGAAACACATCTCTTGTATTAGAATATCACCAGGGACTGGTCTAAATTATTAAATGGTGGCAAAGGTGTGAAGGTGACTCCAGGCAACTGTTTCCAGGCAACTGTTGGCATTCGACGGAGTTTGAACTGAACGGCAGAAGTAAACATTTCTGTCAACCCATCACTGCCGCACTCTGAATAAGAAGTAACTTTTATAAATCTCTAAATTCAATGAAGTCAGTTTTTGTTGATAGATCAACTCAATTTTGGTACTGACTATTGAGGAAATTTTCTTTCGCCATGCTCTCAACCCTACCGTTGATTCCCCCCCCCCCCCACCCCAATCGTCCTTTCAAGTTTTGAATACTTTGTCACCAAAAGCTATGCAGTTCACAAAGCGATCCAGATACCGTCAAATTAATGAAAGAAACAGGCAGATTGAGTCAAATAGATGATCTAACTTTTCCCCAAAGATGATTTCCTAGTTTTCCCAAACATGCTTTATGCTCTTTTCACCAGTCTTTTCAATACAGAATTGGCGTACTTGCGAATTCGCTATTCGAGATACTGTTTCATTATATGAGTCTACATACAATGATAAGACCAGCAACATCCACTCTCTCACCTTTCAGGGTCCACACACATTCCTTCGGCTTTTCTTCAGTTCATGTCTTGGCCACTTACAGCAAAATCGGCATGGACTTCTTCGCTTCCCTCTGCAGCATTCCATTTACGATCGTATGTATCACGGCTTGTTTAGGGACACGTCTGCACGCAGACAATACAGTGGTTGATTTAGGTTAAGCAACATATCAAGGATATTATAAAAGAGCCTCGGGTCTGAACATATTCCTAGGGTAAGTGGCCTATTACCTACTAGACCAGAGAGAATCTCCAGAGCACTGATCCATCCCTCCTTTTTACCAGAATTCGATATGCGACCCCTCCGGCGGGACAATTGCGATGGAAAGCTCCACAGCCTCCTGCTGTGAACCGGACCACCATCATTCCTGCAAACGATCAGCCACCACTTTTCTCTCATCGGGTGCCGCACAGCTTCCTGAGGTCTATGGGCTCAACTCAGACTTAGGTGATGAGGATTGCTTATTTTTGAACGTCTACGCGTCACCAAGTGCGCGAGATCTCCCTGTTCTTGTCTGGCTCCGTAATTTGATATCCCTCTACAGATTTCTATAGGGTTCTGATTCGAGACGCCTGTAATGAGGTGTGAATCAGATGGCGGGGGCTATGGTCTCTCTGGGGCGGTTTATGACCCAAGCGAATGGATCAATACTATTGACAATGGGTTTATCTCAGTCATAATTCAGTATAGATTAGGCGCATATGGTTTCCTTTCTTCTGCAGATGTGGCAAAGTATGGCCAAACAAACGTTGGTGTTGTAGTTCAGAGGTATCTTTATTATCTTATTCAGAGGGAAACATGAGGCTATATATACAAAGGGAAGATCAAGTTGATTAAAAATCAATTTGATTCTTCGTATACATACTTCGGGATTAATTTCCGATGGTTCGGCTTGGTTCCTGATCTGCACCAGCCTCGTATCACAACATGGATCTCTTGCCTAGGCCACTGTCCTGGCGTCATTGGTGGTCAGAGTCTTGCCTTGCACTGCTGAGTGAGCGTCACACTCAATGCCCGTCATTCTAAATTCAGTATTTGCCCGGTAGACAGCATTCTGGCGGGCTGTGCTCTGGAGACGTTCCCAGGGATGACTTGCCGCCAATCCCGACTTCGACAACATCGGATACACCACTCGACCTCTGCATCAATTGGCCATGGCGAGAGGGCAGTCAGCGTCGACAACGTATAACATCTTGTCTTGCGAAAGGTACCTCATAATTGGTGAATGTCCTTATTCTTTCCGCTAAACGAGCTTTATCCGCCGAACGACTATTACCTTTCGACCTCTAACGGGCAGTCATCTGCGCAAGAACTTTTTCGCTTCTTCACCATGGGTCTGTAGTCAATCGTTCGTCTACCGCCCGTCTACCGCCCGGCCTTTGTGATGGCATGGATATCTATAGCAGCGGATACCCGTCCCCGCACTCAGCAAAACTTGTGATTGAAACGGGATGAGCTCCGAGACTTGACGAAAATTCCAGTGCAAACAGAAATTCTCGACAACTTCGATGATCATATCAAGCCCAATGCGCCAGACGATACTCGTCCGACCCGGGCGACCGATTTCCGAGTGCGACCGCTCTTGAAGGAACATAAGCGCGGCGAGCCAACAAGCCCAAGTGTGGGTAACAAAAAGGCCAGCATCTGATGGGAAGCCATGCAGTGCAGTCTGCATGCTCGGCTACTCTAAAAGCCGACTATCGGCGTACCAAGCCAACTTCAAAAAAGTGCTGAGCAACATGCTCACGAAGGGCTTGAGATGCATACCGCCACGGTTGTCTGGCTCAAATCAGTGCCATGGCCGGACTTGGTCTTGTGGGAGATGGCTCTTGGGAGATAATTTGTGGAAGTGGGCTCGTGGGCGTTGGTTTTGGTTTTGTGGACTCGGTCTTGTGGGAGTCGATTCGTGGGAGTGATTCGTAGGAGTTGCTTGCTTCATGGGAGTTGGTCTGTGGGAGTGGGAGTGAAGTCGACCAGGAGTTGAGTGGCAAACAGCATCGTCTGCTCGGAAAAAACTTCATGGCCATTTCAATCGGCCGCAGCTGTCAAATTGGTCAAGAAAAGAGGTCCGAAGAGATCTTATAAAGTTGACTAGAGCGAGCATTGGTGTGAGTCGAAAGTTGGAGAACGGCAGAGCCACGCCAAAGCATGGTCTGTATTGTCAACCGAGCATCACCAGAACAAGCCCAGCATTAGGCACTCGAGCATGAAGAGTTGTGAATGAGATCTTCTCTGGCAAGGCCACTGTCATGTGCGAACCAACTCCGCGGGACGTCGCGTAAACAATACTGCACCCGCGTCTGGGACGACCTTACCGCCTTTGCCGTCGCGTTGGATCAAAAGCAACTTCCCCTTGCCAAACACTGGTGGACGGAAACGTCAGTGCCAACCTTTCTCGCTTTGGAGACACCAGGCTGAATTCCATCCATGAGGGCGTGAGCGCCGTCATCGTTCTGCATCCTTGCTCGACAAGTAGCTCAGCTGGCGAATGTTGAATCTTCTTGCAAACCCTGTCTACAATGCTGCGCGACCGACTTCTACCGATCTCCACGGACACTCTGCAGTATTCGAGTGAAAGTGCATTGTAGCCTGTCATCCACTCAGCCTTTGCGATGACATGCTAGTGGACGCCGTTCTTGTGCTTGATTCAAAGTGATGCGATCGAGACAAGGCGAAAGCTGAAACTTCAGTAGAGTTTCAACACAGGGAATCACTTCATTCAGAGAACCTTGATGGATTGACACTATTCATGGGCTGATTGGACTTGACTACCAAGCGGCGCGGATGAAAGCGCGTTCGCTGGTACTTGATGTTCTGTCAGTGGACGATTGTGTCCCAATGCGAGTGACATGAGGCCCACAGTGCAGTCTGCGAGCTCGGCAACTCTGGCCCGACTGACAGAGCAATCGACGAAGCGCCACCGCCGGTGTATTACTTCATCTGGTCGGTCTCACACGGCTCTTCAGTCTTCAAGCACATCGAAAAGCTTTCCTACTTTATCATATCAGTAGTCATTGTGAGGTCTGGGAGATCTCATCAAGGGTGCATTCGCATTGCGCCGTCTCTCGAAGTATCGATCAAATCACGGTCATGCTCGAGTGGTCCAAAATCAAATGGGTCTCTCGAGATTCTTGTCGGTTGCTGACCCGAATGCCACCTTGTTTTCCTTCAAAACATTCGCTGCTATCACGTGACACGCGGCCACGGCCCCGATGCTGCTGAAGAGAAATCGATTTGAGCTTCCAAAAATCCATGCCCATTTTATTGGCGAATCGAAAAATACAGAAATCCGTGTACTCGGTGAAATCAATTTCACCCATCACTCCGACAGGTGTGAGAATCTATGAAGAGGAAGCCATGACCGTGTCGGGCCGACATTTTGAATTGCCAATGGCAGAACAAAGAACGGCTCTTGCACATTGGTGCTTGACATCTAGCTCAGTTCCTTGTCACTCAGGCACAACAGTGAGAGTTGCGCTAGGATGGTGTGGTGCGAGATGCAAGGTCGGTGTCTCTCTACGCTGCATTGTCCTGTCGAGTCCCTGTGACATCTGCGCCGTCGCGTACATGCCTGCACGGCTGCCTGAAATTCATCTTTGCTCGCTTCGGGCCCTCCCCAGCGCGCTTGTTTGCTCTTCCAAGCACAGCAAGCTCTGCTGACTTTGTCCTAGGGAATGCCATCGTGCTGATCGCGGGTGATGGGTCATGACACGACGCTTCTCCGGCCACCTCATCAAATATATATCTCAGCTACCGCGCAGTCATGTGTCTTATCAGATGAGCAGCTATGCGTCGCTGTGCAGCTGACCACAACGCATGAAACCCACAGGGCTTTGACTTGCCTACTTAGGCGCATTTTATGTTCTGCGTGAAATGCTGAATGACGAAGGATGACTGGGCTCTTTCGTAGATTCCCAG